GGAGAGCATTCTGCTGAGGCGGACTTCACTTTTCCACTTCATCTGAGTCTTTGAAAAAAACAAATTATGCACAGGAAACAAGTAGCCATTTGATTTAGCATTGTTGGAAAACTGGAGTTTGTTATAAATCTTGCACATTGGGCATCCAGGCTCCCAGTCCTCACCGTGCATCTGAGATTCTCAGCTGAGAGATGTGTCTTTTTCCTGACATTGTCTTGTTTTTCTGTTGTTGACTGTTTTTCATTTTTGTTCAGTTACTCACTTTGATTGATGTATTCATTCTATTCAACTTTTTTTTTTTTTTTTTGGCTTTGTGTGGGCTTCGTTGTCACTGCCTAAAGTACAGTATTCTTAAGGATTTTTTTTTTGATGTAGTGTTCATAAATTTCTTAAAATGTTTTTTATCATGAGATGCCCTTATTTCTTTATCAGTATTGAATGATAGCTTTGCAGGATATATTAGTCTGAGTTGGAAGTTGTTTTATTTTAGGGCTTGAAGGACTTCACTCCAAGCTGTCTTGGCCTTTAAAATTTTTGTTGAAAAGTCTGCTGTAATCCTCATGAGTTTACCTTTAAAAATGTTTTTGCTTTTCTCTGGCAGTTTTTATGATTCTGTGTTTGTATTGGACTTCTGAGATCTTTTTTTATAGAATCTTTTTTTTTTCCAGTCGGTACTGGGGATTGAACTCACAACTGCGCGCTTTCAAGGCAGGTGCTTATGCCACTGAGCTAAATCCCCATCCCCTGAGATCTTCTTAACTATCACATGATGCAGAGCTTCCTTTCTTATCCTAGTTATTTGGCATGGTTTTTTTTTTTTTTAATTGGTACTGATAGTTGAACTCAGGACCTTGTGCTTGCCAGGCACAGTGCTGTGCTGCTGAGCAATATCCTCAGCCCTATTTGGTATTTTATAAACTTTGCTTACCAGCATGTTGAGTTTCTTCCCTATCCTGAAAAGTTTTCTACTCTGATTTTTTTACACAGATTTTTAAATTCCATTTGTCCTGTTTTCTGATTGCGACTGCAATTAGCCTTTAGATAGTCTTCTATCATCTAATAGCCTCTGGATACATTTTTCTTGGTCTGAGCATTTTTAAGTTTTCTCTGAGTATGTTACCATGTGGTTCTATTTTATCCTCCGATTCTGAAACCCTGTGTTCACATTGGTCATTTCTTGCCTTTATGAATTCAGTAGAATTCGTTATCTGTGGGATTTCTGTTTGACACCTTTTTGTGGAGTCTGTCTCTTTGGTAAAATTGTCATTTATAGTTTAAATCATTTTGGCCAGATCGTCCAGATTTTCATTTCCATAACTGCGTTTATTGGTTTGTTTGATTTTTCCACTATTTTTATGTTATGTTTTCTTGGAGCTTACCAAATTTCTGTGCCAAATTTGGAGCTTACCAAATTTCTTATCATTTCATGTAACTTAGCTATCTGGTGTTTGCTTTCCTCTTCATTGATATTCCTTGAACCTGCTTTGGGAAAATTGGGAGTCGTTTGAGGTATCGTCTTTCTTTGTTTTTTCTTTCTTTCTTTCTATTGAGATGATACAGAATAAGGTGAATTTGTAGTGTTATGAAGATTCCTTGATTTTTATATTTATATTTGATTTTAGTGGTGTATCGTTGATTTTATGTATCAAGAAGTATTATTTACCACTGCATTCTATTGAACTCATTTGTGTTGGATCTTGTGACTGATTTTCTTAGCTCCTGTGAAGATACTTTGGTGCATGAATAACCATTCCATATGATATACCAATGATAGTGTGATTTGAAACAGTAATTGAAAATCTTCAACATAGAAAAGCTCAGGAATAGATGACTTTGTAGTAATTGCAGATTCCAGGTACCACTGCAACCAACAACCAGAATCTTGGTGAAATGTACCACAGATATGAGCAGGAGTGCTGAATGTCCCTCATTTTTGTTTTAACTTGTAACTCATTAGTGATCTATGATGTTGAAAATTTTTTATGCTTATTTGTCATTTGTACATTTATTTTGTGAAGTATTCTTTTGTTCATGTTTTCATTAGGTTGGTTTTGTTGTTATTGTTCAATTTTAATAGTTTTTGTACATTTTAGATGCCAATTCTTTACTGAAGATTTTTTGCAATGTTTTCCTCTAGTTTGTGTCTTGACTTTTTCTTCTTAGCAATGTTTTTCACAGAGCAGAAGTTTTAATTTTAATAAAGTGTAACTTACCAACTTTTTTCTTTCATGGGTTATACCTTTAGGTTTTGTCTAAAAACTCATTACTAAGCCCAGGGTCACCTAGATGTTCTCTTCTAGATACTGTCGTTTACAAGTTTTGAATTTTACTTCTGGGGGTGTGGGCCATTTTGAGTTAATTTTTATATAAGGTGTAAGTCTGTTTCTGTTGTCATTTGCAGTTGAAGTCTCATTGTTCCAGCATCATTTTATTTTTTATTTTTTTATTTTATTTTTAAAGAGAATGAAACCAAACAAAATAGAATAAAACCAATCAAAACAGTGAAAGTGATACAGGATAATAGGAAATCAACAATGATTACAATAATGCCTCTTGTTATCTTCAAAATTGCTGCCAATACCATTAGACATAATAAAATCAAACAAAACAATAAAACCAAAACAGAACAGTGAAGAAAACAAAACAGTAAAATGGAACAAAACAGTGAGAATAATACTGGATTTCAAAAACAAGACAGAGTTGCTGTATGGCATGTTACCTTATAAATAGATGCTCAGACTACCAGCTGTAGGTTTGCAAAGTCAGTCAAACAATACAAGAATTGAATTGCTTGTCTACCTTAGTTGCTGTCAACTCAGCCTGTGATCCTGTAAATCAGCTGGTTGCTTACACAGAGGGAAGGCTTCTTGTCTTCCAGCCCACACACTGGCTGGCTCATAGGCAAGGCAAATTGTCTTCTCATTTCTCTTTCCGGCTCCACATGGCCGCTGCTGGCCCACAGGAAGGGTAAATTGGTTTCTTATATATCTTCCCCGCCCAGCATGGCTATTGTTGGCTCACGGGAAGTGATGTTCTAACACCATTAGTTGTAAGGATAGTTGGTTGTTTTTTGTCTCTTCCTGTGAACCTTGGAATAAGTTTGTCAATATACAGAACACAGTTTGCTGTGATTTTTTATTGGGAATGCAGTGTCTATGCATCAACTTTAAAAGAATGGCCATCTTAACATCTTATTGACTCTTCCAACCCATAATGTGTATTTTCCCACTTATTTAGACTTCTTGATTCCTTTCATAAGCATTGTTTTCTACATATAGATTCTATATATATTTTGTTAGTATTTTTCAGGATACTGTAAGTGGTTAGTGTTTTTAATTTAAATTCTAGTAATTTATGTTATAAATAAAACAATTGATTTTTGTATGTTAACTTTGTATCCTGCAATCTAGGTATAATTTCTTCCAGTTTTTCTGTTACTTGGGATTTTCTACGTTAGCATGTCATCTGTAAAAATGACAGTTTTTTTTCTCTCTTTTTGTTCCCAATACCTTTATTTTCTTTTCTTGTGTTATTATACTGGATAGAATTTTAAGTCTGATGCTGAATAGGATTCAGAGAGGATATCTCTGCCCTGTTCATTATATTACTATTAAATGAGGTATCAGTTTTAGTTCTCTTGTATTTTTATCAAGTTGAGAAAGATTTCCTCTACCTAATTTGTTAAGTTTTTAATTATGAATGAATTTTCTCATATATGTTTCCTGCATCAATTGATGTCATAATGATTTGTTTTAGCCCTGTGAATGTGGTAGGTTATATTAATCGCTTTATATTAATTGCTTCCCCTTCCTTTTTTTTTCCTTTTTAAAATTGCTTTTCTCATACCTGTATTCTTCATTCTATTCAAAAGTAGAAAGATAAAGAACATAAAAGGAGAAGATTGGATGAGAACAAAAGCCCTGAATATCTGAAATAAATCTCTCTAGGTTATGATATATAATTATATACATTGTTGGGTTCAGTTTCCAAATATTTTGTTGAGGAATTTTGCATGTATGTTCATGAGCAATGTTAAATTGTGGATTTACTTTTTTCCTTTTTTTTTCTTTAGCTTTAGTGTTAATAAACCTGATATTTAAACTTTCTTTTTTCCTCTGGTGTTTTCCATGTGTATTCCTGTGATTTTTAACTGTGTGAAATGATGTACAATTGTATTGTATTTATTCACTTAAATTGCTAATCTCCAACACCTTTTCAGGTTCTAATAATGTCTTTTGTATGCTGCTTCATAAATTTTATGCTTTTCATTGAAGTAGTTATATTTAAAATCATGTTGAATTTTAAAATGAATAATGTGTAATCAGCTCAATTTATGAAAAGATTATTATAGTCTGGAATATTCAGATTTCTTTTCTAGGATTCTAGTTGCATTAAGAAGGATGAAGAAATCATTTTCCTCCAGCTAATAATACATGTCACAATATGACCTTTGTACTTACATGGGAGCTCTAATCTGTAAAGATTAGTGGGATCCTATGGCTTTTCGGTGTTAGAGTAGTCACAGAACAGGGCTCACCGGCAATAGGGGAACACTTTTTTCTTACAATTGACATTTTTAAACATGCACAGTGTTTAATGAACAGATCAGAATAAATGGCATATCTGTCACCTTAGACATTTTTTTTGTGTGTTGGGAACATTAAAAATTCTGTGTTCTGTCTGTTTAGAGAGATTAAGTTAATTTTTGTCAGCTATAGCTATCCTGTTGTGTTAGAGAAGTTATTTCATCTTATCTAGCTGCAACTCTGCATGTGAAGCATCCTCTATCCCTTTTCTTTCCCAACATCCTTTTTTCATCTTTGTTTTTGTTATTAAAATATTTTACAGCTTAATATAGATTGTAATTGGGGAAAGTAATGGCAACAAAGAGAAAATTTTAGGACATGTGAACCTGACAATATACTAGATTAATTATGAGATATTTTAATATTCAGGAAAAGTGTCAAACCATTCATGTTCGTATGTCTACTTTTTCCTAGGCTGAGAATCCCCCTAATGGACCAGAATGTGGTTATGGCTCCTTTCACCAGCAGTACTGGCTTGATGGAAAGATTATTGCTGTAGGGGTGATTGACATCCTTCCATATTGTGTTTCCTCTGTATATTTGTACTATGACCCTGATTACTCATTTCTATCATTGGGTGTCTACTCTGCATTAAGGTAAGATCTCCTTTTGCATTTCTATAATGGGTAACATAAAACTTCAAAAACTACTCATTTGATTGTATTTTCTTATACAACAATAGAAACTGTTTGACAGTATAATTTGTTGCTATTGTAGTTCTTCAGTTATGTATTGGTATTTAGTAGTAGTATCTTCAGAACTGATGCCACTATCTGATGGAAGTTCTCTAGTCTAGCTTTTTAGTTTTCTGTATACTCTTGTATATAAGTAACTTATAGATTTGGGGGTGCTTTTGTTGTTTCATTTGTAGATTTATTTAAGCTCCCCCATCAGAACCCCTTATTGGGTTGAGGATTTAGCTCAGCAGCATAAGCTCCTGCCTTACAAGTGCGCAGTCATGAGTTCGATCCCTGGTACCAATTAAAAAAAAAAAAGAACCCTTTATCGTCCTTGAGTGTTATTATTTATATTCTTGTTATCACTAGCATATGCGTTTGTTCACTAATTAAAAATTAACATGTATTAATAAATTAAAGCAGTAGGAATCTGCTGAAAGACATATAGTTAGATAGTCTTCTTAAGGACCGGGACACATTCTCAGAAAGAGTAGGCAGCTTGGGTTGTGCATGCATTGTTAGATGTAGTTTTACAAACTTAAGAGGAGTACAGTGTCACTAGGTGGTATACAGTGGTACCATGATTCGTAAACTTAATTTGTTTTATGATTTTGGAAAAGATGGCTGTGTTTGTGTTTGTGTGGGAAAGATGGCAGTGGTGGTGTTTCCCACCGGCTGCAGAGTTTGCAAACAGAAAATTTTTGCCAAATGCTTCTGTTTGCAAAAGAAATTATTTTGCAAAGCATTTGTGAACCAAGGTACCACTGTAATTTTATGAGACCACAATGTTATATATGTGTCCATTGTTGACTGAAAAGTGATTATGGGGTTTTGAATATATCAGAACAGGAACAGAGAATTCTTAGCTGGCTGCTTGAATCTGTGACACTCAATAGAAAATAATTTCAGTGACTCTCAATATAAAATAATTTCCATTTTATGTCCCTGATTGCAAATATATAAAGCAAGACCAACATCTTTTGATGGTAAGAAGATTGGATTCTTCATCAAAATATTTGTTTCTTTTTCTTTTTCTTTTTCTTTTTCTTTTTCTTTTGTCTTTTTGAGACAGTCTTGCTAGGCAGTTCAGGCTGGCCTTGAGCTCACTTTATACCCCAGGCTGATTTCAAACTTGCAGTGATCCTCAGCCTTCCAAGTGCTGGGATCATAGGCGTGCGCCGTCATGCTGGGTTTTGTGTCTATTTTTATTTCTGCTTCTCTGTATGTACTTACAGTACAGATTGGGAGGAGTGTCTGGAATTGTTTTACTTTTTGTTCTCTGGGAGCTCATATGTTCTTTTCTGTTTTCCTTTCATTTCTTACTCTTTACATCTCATGCTTACATTTTTACTCATGATGAAATATTCAACCAGATTATTTTATATTTTGTGTATATGGTTATCTTTTGAATTATAGATATGGAAGTTGCTTTTTATTTAAATCAGTAATTTGATTTTTTTCAAAATCTGATCTAATTGTATTTTTTAAAAGTTTTATTAGTGCATATTCGTAGTACATAATGATTACATTCATTGTGGAGAATTGACACGTGCATAACATATCTTCATTCTTTTTACATACCCTAATAATTGATTTTTGGTATATATTTCCATGGCCTACAAAACAGAGTTCTCTATCTTGATATTTTCAACCTGGTTTTCTCTTAATACTAGTTTATAACAAATTCACAGTTATATAATAACCTCTAACTGTCTTTTATTTTCCTTTTGTATTTAATAGCCTTTTTGTATAAAGTGATTAAAATATTCATTGCTGTTGATCTTACTGGAATAGGAATTTAAAGCATTTGCATTTTATAACTTAGAAGTTTACATTTATTTTCTTTAGGAGTTTGTATTTATTTTAGAAAAGATTCATTTTTAGGTTTCTTAATCCTACTAGCAATATTAAATTTTGTATTTTTAAATTTAGTATAATAGAATCTACGTATTTTTTTTTTTTTTGTCTTTTTCATTTTTATTGGTACCGGGGATCGAACTCACGACTGCCTGCTTGCAAGGCAGGTGCTTATGCTGCTGAGCTAAATCCCCAGCCCTGAATCTATGTATTTTAAATGTCTGAATTTCCACTTTACCAAAGCAAACAGTAAATTAGTAAATAGACTACTTAATTTTAGATACTCCAAGGCTGGGCATGATGGTGCATGCCTGTAATCTCAGCACTTGGGAGGCTGAAGCAAGAGGATTGCTTGAGTTTGAGGCTACCCTGAACTACATGATGAGCTCAAGGCCAGCCTGAACTGCTTGGTGAGATCCTGTCCCCCACCAAATTTTTTTCTCTTCTTTTCTTTTAGATAATCCATTGTACTGTCAGGAAGACAATATCAGCAACTGGTCCTTGTGTTTTGCAGCTGTATTCCTAGCACTGTGAGAGGGTGAGGCAGAAAAATTAGAAATTTTGAGCTCAGCTTGATAATTTGGCCACTTTGTGAGACTTTGTCTTAAAACAGAATAAAATTAAAATAGAATACAATAGAATTGACAAGAAATAAGAACTGGGTTCAGTCTCTAGTAATGCATGCATACATACATAAATATCAGCAGTAGTGGTAGACATGCAATATGTTTTAAAAAAATAATTTTATTGTATATGTTTGTGATGCATGGTGATTATATTCAATTTGGGTTATGGATATGTGTGCATATCATATCTTATTTATCTTTACCCCCCTGAGCCCCCTAGACCTTCTCTTTTTTCTCCTTCCTGAGACCCTCTTCCCATCTCTACAAACATGGTAAAAACAATCTCTATGGGGTGGGGGGTTTAGCTTAGTGGCATAAGTGTCTGCCTGGCAAGCGTGAGGCTGAGAGTTCAATCCATGGCACTTAAAAAAAATCCCTGTGTGGTTTTTAATATGTCTCTTAGGCTTGGGATTTAGGTCAGTGGCATAAGCACCTGCCTTGCAAGTGTGTGGTTGTGAGTTCGATCCCTGGTACCGATAAAAATAAATAAAGAAATAAAATATCTCTTTTATTTTGTCCTTTAAATTATTTATATTTTGAGCCTCATATTTGAGAAACTTTGCAATATTTAACCTTTTGTGACTGATTTATGTCGCATGGTATTGTGGTCTCAAGATTATCCAGTTTTATACAAATGACTAATTTATTCCTCTTTATAGTTTAGTAATATCCATATTTTTAATCTGTTATCTGTTTCTGGGCACATAGGCTGTGCTTTCATGATTTAGATATTGTTAGTTGGCTGTTACAAACATGAAGATGCATTAGCTCTTTCTGGAAGACACCTAAAAGTGATGTAGCTGGGCCAAATGGAATTTCTCTTTAATTTTTTTGAAGAATCTGTCTACTTACTTTCATAATGTTTATACTAGTTCGTATTCCTAACGACACTATAGAAGGATTCCTTTTTCTCTGCAACTTCACTAGCATTTGCAGTAGTTTGAGTTCCTACTGGTGTAAGGTGGAATTTCAGTGAAGGCTGTTTTATAGATCTGTTAGGAAAGACATTTGAGGAGCAAAAGTAAAAGAATCAAGAGAAGTCCATGCAAAGATAGCAAATGCAAGGGTTCTGAGGTAGTCAGAATAAACAGAAATAGTCTTATAGGCTAAGCCAAATGGAAGCACGTAAGAGAGTGTTACTATGGCAGGAGGACAGTAAGGCAGGTGGAGGTGTGAGGCAGGGCAGATGGAGAGCGCTCGTAGGTTTGGGAAGGAGGTTGGGTTGTATATGTGACACCCAAATAATATGGGAGCCTTGAAATTATTTGATCTGATTTTTTTCCCCCCAGTAATGGGCATTGAACATGGGTCCTTCCCACCAACCTATATCTCCGGCATCCTTTTCAAGTTTTAATTTGGGATAGGGACTTGCTCTATTACTAAGTTATCCAGCAAATGCCTGGACTTGGGATCCTTTTGCCTCAGCCTCCCACAGTAACTGTAACCTGATCTGATTACTATTGTAAAAGATGACTTGGGCCGTGTTATGGGGAATATAGAGATGCAGGAGTGGAAACACAAAAATAAGTTGCAAGGCTACTGTAATTATCCTGTGGAGCCATACATAGTGGCTTAGACCAGAGTATTGGAGGTGGAGGTGATACAAACCAGCTAGATTCAAGATATATTTTAGAGATAGAGCCCAGACAACTTTGTGATAGCTTGGACATGGTGGTGAAGAGCAACAGAATAGATACAGAGGACTGTTCGGTTTGGAAGGAGTAGTGCTGGGATGAAGTGGGTTGTGCAGGACTAAGTAAAGACTAGAAGAGTGACTTGACTGGCCTTGGGGCGGGTGGTTCTGCATGTCTTTGTATGTGTGCAGTATTTCCTCACTTTGAACCTTGAAATACATTAATTTCATGAATAGTAAGATGTATTCTGTTTTGGGCAAATGTTGAATCTGCTTGAGTTTAGGAATATGTGTATTTTAAATTCTCTCTTTAAAATTCATTTAAAAGTAATGTTTTGGAATAGCAGTCTTTCAAAGATTTAAATTTAAACTTGAAAAATGCACAAAATCTTCAATTAAATAATACATTTCTCCTGAATTTTAAGTATCCATTGCTACTAAAACAAGAAAGAAGAAAGCCTTCAAGAATTGCACAGACATACAAGTAACTTGGTGTTTTAGAAATGTACTCAAGATTTACTTAAACCCTTCACATACAATGAGTTGTTCAGCCAGGCATCTAGGGTGAAATTTTGTGCTAAGATTTATCTGGGTACAAATTACGCTTCACACATAGGCATACAGTGAGGATACAGATAGCCCTCATCTCTGCCAGCAAATAGAGAAAATGTGGTAAGGTAACAATGTATTTCCTGCTTTCATTTAGCTGGCATGAGCACAACAGGTAAGAGTTTGAAGATTAGAAAGATGTAAGCATGATGCTTCCTCTTAAGAAGCCTTGGTCTTCGTGAATCTGGGGACATTTCATATGCAACATTTCATATGCTAAAAAGAAAGCAAAATATGTAATAGTAAGATTTGCACCTAGATATAAAAATCAATGTGTTAGTATCAACTGAATGTATTTGTATGTCATGATCATCATAATAGTTACTTTTCTTAAAATGTATTTTGTGTTTTCTGAAATTTGCTGTGCTGTTCTTAACCTGCTAAGCACAGATTCTTTGAGGATTCCAGAGTTGTAGATCTCTTTAATCTTGTGTTATTCGAAATTTAGATCAGCTTCTTTGCCCAGCAGATGGGTTTTGGAGCGTCTCTTTAGTAAACATCATCTTGCAGTGTTTTGAAAATTGTTTTTATTTCAAGATTTGGAATTCTTTTGGATACTTAAGACCAAATTTTATCAAGCATTTGTCATCATATAATTGTTTGAAAACTAGAGTCAAAATTAACTGTACCTTCATCTTCTTTTGACAGAGAAATTGCTTTTACTAGGCAACTTCATGAGAAAACGTCTCAACTCAGCTATTATTATATGGGTTTCTACATTCATTCTTGCCCCAAGATGAAATATAAGGTAAAGTTGATTTTCATACATTTGTCTATTTTCATTATAGAAAAAGGGAACTTTAATAAATTTTTTATCTCAGGGCATAGGATTTGGAGCTTTGAAAGAAGGATGAATAGGTTAATAAGAAAATCTCTTGACTGTCTCAGAAAGTAAGCTTTCTGTAATGAGAACCACAGCCTGTGCTGGTCTTACTTTGAAATCCGTCATGTTATTTTGAGGTTTAAGTATATTTCAGAATTTCCCTTTTAAAAAAAGATTGTATGACTTTCTTTAGTGAACTCTTTGATGTTTCCTAAGTGTTAGTGGAGTAGAGAGCTATGTGGAGGAGCAGGCTTTTCCCTTCCATCCACTGTGATTCCCCACCATTTTGAAGGGCTTTAAGAGCTAAAAGATACAGGCAGGAGCACAACACGTGAAACTTTGAAGATTAGAAAGATGTCAGCATGAAAAGATACAGGCAGGAGCACAACACGTGAAACTTTGAAGATTAGAAAGATGTCAGCATGAGGCTTTCTCTTAAGACATATGGTCTTCGTGAATCTGGGGACATTTCATATGCAACCAGGCCATACATCGGTAGGTAGGTGACCTAGAAGGACATGAGGTTTTAATCCATGAGTTGTGGAAGAGGAAGAAAGGAGAGCCTTAAGGAAAGAATAGGTATGATGAAGAAGCGTGTTTCAAGGAGAAAGAGTGGTAGAATGAGTTAGAGATGGCAGTGCCTGTAATATATTCATGGGAAGAAAGGTGATCTGTAGGAAAGGCCTGGAAAGCTTGCCTAAAGGACTCTGGAATAGATGGTTTTCAGAGCAAAGAGAAGTATAAGTAAAAAAATATATAAATCTGTTCTTATCTATAAACATGATTTTTAGTTAAACAATAAGAATTTAAAAACAAATTAACATTAAAAAGTATATTTGAGTTCCTGTGTACCCAACATAGAACATCAGCAGTGGTTATACATCTTACTTCATCTGTTCCTTTGCCTTATTCCCTCCTCTACTTTCTTTTGAATGCTTTTGGAGCAGATTTAAGATAGCTTTCATTTTTAAAATATTTTAGAGTAAAGATAAGGATACTTCAAAAACAACTGCAATATTGTCGTCATGCCTAAAATATAGTAGCAATGTTTCCAAATATCATCTGATATCTAATCAGTGTTCATATTTCTCTAATTGTTTCAGTTTTTTTCACTGACATTTGATTTGGGACTCAAATAAGAACTGTACATTATACTGATCAGTCCCTCGAATGTTTTTAATTCATACCCCACCTCCATTTGTGGGAATGATCATGGTTTCAAAACTTTGAGGTCAAGTATTGAGTGGCTGATGGTTCTGTGTTAGAAAGTATGCATTCCAAAAGGAGGACTGGCTTTGAGAGCAGAGTAAAAACACAGTCCTGTGCGTAGCTGGTTTTACATTGACAGTCCAGAAGTCTGATCCAAGTGTCCTTCTGGCATTTGGAGATTCTCTTTTAATCTCTTATTTGTTTGATCTCTTTTTATACATTATAGATAGGAAACTTCTATATTTGGTTGTCTTCAAAATTACTTTTATGCCTGAATTATAAATTTACTTGATTTACCTAAATAGATGTTCTTTTCAGGAGGAAAAGTATGATTCCATTTTTGTTTGCTCCAAAATAGTAGTTGGTACTGATTTTACTAGTGCCTTCTATCTTTTTTCCTTGTATAGTAATAGATCTAAGTTAGTTCAAAGCAGAAAACTCAAGGGTTCCAGCTATTTTGATACAATTACAAGATTCCAAGAAAATTATTGCTACCCTAAATGTTAACCTTCCTTTATGTAGTAGTTGTATGTGACCATTCTAGTCAGAAGGGTTTTTATATCACATTTCAAGACTTGCTAGGATTTCATTTTTAATTCTTTATTTTTAATGAATTAGATGTATAATGTTTAGTGTCAGAACATTTATGTTGCAAGTTTTTCATGTACCTGAGCTAAATTCTGTTTGCTGTATGTTTTAACTCATTTTTTATCAGTGGAAATGCATCTGTTTTTGTCATCTTTTCATTTTCATGAAGCCTTTTTTTTGGTACTGGGAATCAAACGCAGGACCTTGCACTTGCCAGGCAGGTGCTGTGCTGCTTAGTTATCCCTGACCTTTCATGAAGACTTTTGACTTACTCTCTTATTGAATGTAGTCTTTTGACTAAATATTTGATGCTCTTTAGTTCTGCTAGGAAGAGATTTCTCCTAGTTCTCCTCGGAAGAGAAATTAAAGTCAGTCCCTATCTTGTTTTAAGTTAAGGATTTTAAAGATGCTTTCTTGTTGTTTAATCTCACTTAATCGTATACAGCCTAAATCCATCAGAATTATAGCTTCCTGATATTAATTTTTAAAATTGAACTTATATGAGAGGTAGGTTGCCTGCCTTCTGGTTTGCCTTCTTTCTGTCACCAATGAAATATTTATTGAGCTCTTACTGGATGTAACAGCCGTGAACAGTGCAAGTAACATTCCTGGTCTCATAGAACTTCACTTCTACTGCAGAAGCTAACGGTAATTGAATAGAGAAGACAAATCTCAGATAGGGACACATACTGTGGGATGTAATAGATCGTAACTGAGTGTGGCTACCTTGGATTATGTAGTCAGGGTTGAGGTTTAAAATTTAGGCAAAAATTTGAATGACAAGAAGATAGCCAGCTAATGGGAAGTTTAGAAGTTATTTCAAAGAGAGATTGTGGAAACAGCTCGTGTAGCACTGCTTAGCTACTGAGTCTCCATAGGCATCAATTTTGTGTCTGTGCAGTACGTCACAGAGTCCTAGAGAATATTTAAAAGTTCTGATACTTGGGTCCTATTCTCAGCGATCTTTTTCATAAGTATCAATCTTTTCATAAATGTATGGAGAATTTTGATGTAAGTCAGACTTGAGAATCACTGTACTATATTTGAGAGCCTAGTGAGGAACATGAAAGATGATTATTTCCCTTTTTCTGCTGTTTTCAGAAATTCAGAAGTGACTAAATTTATTATTAATGTTTTATTTTTATTACTATTGAGGAAGCTCTATTTTTGCTTTGTCATCTGTCAGTTGTCTTCCTCAAACTTTTACCTATACTTTTTCTCTTTTATCCTACCCCTTTGCCCATCACCTATAACTTGTAAATTATTTATCCATCATTTCTCCACCTAATCTCTTCTAGACTTTAAGACTAGATTTGACTACCCACATAACCCCATAGCATTCTACATTTCTTCCCAAATTCAAGTCTCTTTGTTTACACATTTCATGTGATAGCTGATGATGCTTATCTTCTTTGTCCAGTATCTCAGGTAGCTTATAGTATTTCTGCTACATGGTAGATGTTTACTACTTATTAGATATTTGTTCAGTTAATGAATGGCAATACTAATGCCCAGGGTGAAAAATGATGTAGGATAGTGAGAAAGTCATTAGTTTAACAAGTATTTATAGAGTGCTAATTGGAAAGTTTTCACTTTGCAAATATCTTAGTAGTAGTTACATAATTCTAACAATGTAGGCACTGGGGTTGGATATTTCAAAGTATAGATAAATACTCTGACAGTACAGGGAGGCAGAGACACAGGACTGTGTAGCAGTTCAGAGAACGAACTTACAGCTAGTTTCAGGTTTTACAACTGTAAAATGAGAATATTATGGAAATGAAATTTATTATATTAATATCTTCATTTGAACATGGAATCTACCATGTTGGGTAGCATTTATGAAGTCATTACCTGTCTTTTGTTAGGACCCATTAAGGCTCTGAATGCTTAATGATAAGTAGTCAAACTTCCCAATGGGCTGTATCTTTAGCTAGACTTTTTAATTTAGATGCTAGAATAAAGGAGAAGGTAGGACTAGTGTAGACCGCTACTCTCTGTGGTGATTCCTAGGATGGAGGACAGTTGTCTTTTGCTCAGTGGGAAGTGAGCAAAGCTGTGTTAATAGCAGAATTGCTACAAATGTGAACCTTTGTTAAATCCTCTGTTCTGCTCAAGCCTTGTTTATTTAGGGAAAAAAGGATCTCTTACAGGTAAGCTGTTGTTAATAAATGCTAACGTTAAAAAGATTGTTTTGCTCTATTGGAATGAGAGATTGGCACGTTTGTCTTGGGGCTATATGTTTTCCATCATTGATGGTAGTTTGATACTCATTTCAAGGTCATTCGTATCAGTATCTTTTCATGCTAACACAAATGTAATAATAGTCTTACTTATCCCACAAATTGAGCCATTGAGTTGGAAGAGGAGAAGGCAGGGGAGTGGTGGCGTACTATGTCACTCGCTTTTTCCTTGTGCCAAATGTTTGCATCAGAAGCTAAGGCAGTGATTTCTGTTACTTGTGGATTAAATAGGTAATTTACATAACTTACAGTCTTAATAAATTATTGCCATTTTATAATTGTCTTTAAAATAGCAGGTTGCTATGTCTCTAGAAGGATTTAGAGCAACAATGTCATTATAAAAGATGACTTTGATTATGTATATTTCCTGTTATCGATAATATGGTATGGACTGGTAAAAACTACTTCAAAAGTTGATTGGTCTCTCTTAATAAAGTTAACAGGAAAGCTAGTGTTTTCATGTGAAAATTTCTTGATGGCATTTTTAGGGTATTTTTTTTTTTGAATCATGTATCTTGAAGAAAGTTAGTTGATGGGCTGGGGTTTTAGTTTAGTGGCATAAGCACTTGCCAGGCAAGAGCAAGGTCGTGAGTTCCATCCCTGGTACCAAAAAAAAAGGAAATTAAGGAAAAGTGTTATAATTCTTCCATTTCCACAAGAAGTAAAGCTGAACAGTTAGCATAAAAGTGCCACTGATTTGAGGAGGCCATCAATGCCAAGTAGGAAGTGAGAGCAGAAGACCTTGATTTGGTGGTGCTAACAACTCAGAGGAATGTGTGAAGAAACAGGACAGGTGCTCAGCAGGGGGCAGCTCAGCTCTGCTGTGTAACTCGTGCTGGAGGCAGTCTCTGTGTTATGGGGAGAGAGAGAGAGAGAGAGAGAGAG